CCCCCCCCCCCACATTCCCACCTGCACCCCTCGCACCAAATGGGAGCTGCCCAGGTAAGTGCCCCACACCCAGACCTCCTGCCCCAACCCTGAGCACCCTCCCTCATTCTAGCTCCTGGCCAGACTCTTCACCCCCAGCCCTGTGCTCTGTGCACTCCCACCCTCAGCTCATTGCAGAGAGAGGAAGAGAATGGGCCAGAACCAGGGAGAAGGTAGGTACCCACTGTCTGTGGGCAGAGCCACTCAGCCCACTGCCGGTGTGGGGTCCCAGCCACCGGCTCCGCACAGCCCGCTGCCGGTCTGGGGTTCTGGCTGCTGGACCCTTGCCAGCCGGGGTCCCGGCCGCAGGCCCCGCTCAGCCCGCTGCCGGCCTAGGTGAACAGAACCCCAGACCAGCAGTGGGCTGAGCGGGCCGGCGGTGTAAGATCAACATTTTAATTTAATTTTAAATGAAGCTTCTTAAACATTTTGAAAACTTTGTTTATTTTACAATACAACAATAGTTTAGTTATATAATATATAGACTTATAGAGAGAGACCTTCTAAAAACATTAAAATGTATTACCGGCACGCAAAACCTTAACCCGGTCTAGCTTGTACTGTGCTATTAATTGCACAAAGGGTGTGCTACTGACTGTCAAAATACATTCCTGGGGAATACTAACTTAGGGTATGTCTTCACTGCAGAGTTAACGTAGGCGGTTACTCAAGTGTTTCCCTTAACTCCCCTACCTTCTTCCCTCCCTCTGTCCACTCAAACAGCCCCCTGACCTGAGTTTAGTGGTGCTTTCTAGCTGGTTCATCTGGGGCTGTAGGCTAAAACCCAAGTGAGGCTTTCACTCAGGCTAGTAACCTGCTCGCTTTGCAATGAGGATATGTGCTAAGTCACTTGAGTGGCAGTAGTCCTCCACTCCATTCCCACAATTCCCTGTGTGGTGCTCAGAAGGACAGACAAGTTCTCCCACAATTCACTGGGAAAGAATCAGAGCAGCTCAGCTTACTGCAGCATAAAGAACCATGAGGATGCTAGAACCAGGGTAGGGCTTTGTAGTGTGGCTGCTCACACCTGAGCTAGACTAACCCAGGTGCTCACACTTGGGTGCCAATCACCTGGGTTAACCCTGTAGCGAAGACATACCCTTAATTGCTATCCCTGCTCCTATCTGAGGTCTGTGGAAAAAACAAATGATTGGCGCTAGGAATTCCTCAGTTCTAATTCTTGCCTTGCAATTGATTCAAAATTTGGCCTCTATTTCCCCATCTGTAAAATGGAGGTAATGTTTAAGGTACTTACTCATAGGATGTTGCAGATCAATATGTGTAAAGTGCTAAGTATCGTTAATTGTTTCAACCCCTCTATCAGTACAGTTTGGTCAGTAGTGAAAAGTGTTATTCAAAAGGATGGCCCACTCGGGTTCTACCATGGTCTGTCAAGCACTTTACTTCGGGAAGTCCCAGGTTATTTCTTCTTCTTTGGAGGCTATGAACTGAGTCGGACATTTTTTGCAGCGGAGAGACCAAAAGATCAACTAGGTATGTGCCAGCTTGTGGGTATATGGAAAAGGTAGTCTCTCGCTACAGAAAGTAGCATACTTCTACTCTCAAAATCTCTCCTGCAATGCTAATTATACCTTATCCACTTGCTGTATATCTGCAGGCAAAAAATTGTGGTCCTGTAGAATAGCGATGTGGGAGCAAAACCAACACTATTCCAGTTTATGGGTGGTAAAGAACTGCTCACGCCAACCATTTTCAGATTTGTCATGCATCATCTTGCTTTTGTACACTTATTTAGCTGATGTATGAGTTACCTGATCAGGAGAGGATAATTGTGCAAAAACTGTTGAATGTTCAACACTCCACAATGCACCACCGAACTGTTTATTGCAACAAAGTTGTTCACTAGTTGTGCATCTTTTAAGTGATTTGAAACTTTCCCTTTGCACGGTGTTCAGTGCGTGTCACAGATGTTTCTCTCTCTCTCACACACCCACCACTGCATTAAAAGAACATTAATGTTGCAAAGTCAAGCACTCAAAAGTTAGGAAATGGCAGAATTGTCTGTGCAACATTACATTTGGTTTCTAGAAAAAAATAAGCTTGAGGTAGACACTGGGTATTTAAAACTTTAGCCCAAACAGTTTGGCAAATTATAAGCAACTGAAAACAGAGTCTTATAATGGGAAATGTTGGGCAACCTCAATAATAGGCAGTTCTGCCAGTTCTATTTATAGTATGTAAGGGCTATCTGGTTGTTTAGGATTCAGACGTTAGTATTGCAGAATGTGAAATGTAATATTCTGTATCATTCCAGTATGAACACAAACTCTTGGAACTCTTGCATTCCTTATTTTGGACAAATGCTCTTTCCATGCTCTGAAGTGTCAGCCTCTGTTTGCCAGAAGCTAGGAATGGATGACAGAGGATGGATCACTTGAGGATTACCCTTCTGTTCATTCCCTCTGGGGCACCTGGCATTGGCCACTGTCGGAGGACAGGATACTGAGCTAGTTGGACCTTTGGTCTGAGCCAGTATGGCCGTTCTCATGTTCTAACTTCATATGCACTTTCAAGGAGGGATATTGAAGATAGGAAACCATTGGGTCTCTCTGGCTATTAAAACGCAAGATACCAGCCTTTGAAGGGACTTGGCATCAGTAGTTTGCTTTTTAGTAGTTAAAAGTGCTTGCTTTTTCTAGCTACTATTGTTATCAAATTTTCATAAAAATCTGATCATAAAAGCAAAATGTGGTTGCATTCTGAAAGTTGACTGGGTTTGTAACAATGCTGTCTCACTCAGTAGACACTCCCCTGTGTATATTCAGAGTCATAACTGCTGGCTTTACTCAAGAAATTTTTACAACCTTTTTACTTGTGATAGCGCTGCAGAGCCAATCCAGCAATGGCAGCAGGAGTGAGATATTTTGTCTTAAGTATTAATTAAATTCTGACACCTTTTTTTTTTTTTTTTCTTGTCATGGCCTGAACCATACATTCCAGGGTGAACTTCAAGGCCTGGCAGGCGAGTTGCACTTCTGAACTAAGAATATTTAAATTTAGAAGGCAGTGAGAGAGCATAAAGGTATCTCTTTCCCTATGTTACAAAATATTTTAAAGAAACCTGCTTTCCTAAACCAGACTTTGTGTTGAAGGTTTGTCTACGTAGTAAAATTTTTAAACTCTTATTCTAAATGTGCTCGTGGAAGTAGGAGGCTGGACTCCTTAGAAATCCACAACCACTTTATTTAATCTTATACCTATGATACAGTGCAAGCTTATCACACAGAAAAACTGCCACCTCCTCAAACTCTGTGCATTCCTTGTTTTCACATTACTCTAAAATAGAACACCATAAAATTTGGGGGGTAGTTTGCACAGTGTATAAAAGCTTATTTCATGTTTTTAGGGCCTATTCCTTTGATGGTGAGTGGTGGTTTTGGAGGCATCTGCTTGTGGATTGCTGTTTATCCTGTGGACTGTGTCAAATCTAGAATTCAGGTTCTTTCCATGTCTGGAAAACAGGCAGGCTTCATGGGAACATTTGCAAATATTTTGCGAAATGAAGGTAAGCATGTCCAATACAAACTGAACCTGCAGGCTCATATGTGAAAACTTTACTCCAGTATGGAAAATCTATTCTGAAACCTAGTCTGTTAAGAAGTTACGGGAAATTAATTACGCTACTTCCTTTTCTGTAGACCACAAATTACTATTCTTGTGAAATTCTCCCATCGCCACCTTTAGAGACCCGCAAAATGATGCTTCTAAAAAATCTTGATGCTAACAATAATACAGAAACTAGTTTCACAGATTCAGGCTTAATGCATCTACTACACTCAATTGTACTTCAGAGGGCAATCACTTAGTACTTACTGTAGTATCTTACCTGTTAAAGACAGATGAGTAAATGCACCCTCCTGCCCTGCAATGGCTAACTTGTAATTTAAACATTGAAACTCCAAGCAGGTACTAGAAATAGATTCGCCACAAATTTGATTGATCTCTGTTTGAAGAATTTATAAGAAACAGTAACTTATACATTTATAAAAGATGCTCAGTTGACTAGGAAAGTAGAAATTGCCGTACTGGATCAGATCCAAGGTCCCTCAGGTCCAGGATAGTGTATCTGACAGTGACTAGCACCAGATGCTTCAGAGAAAGGTATTAGAATCCTGCAGCAGGAAGATGTGGGGCCAGCTGTCCCCCACATTAGGTCTTTTCTGAATCTCCAATAGTTAGATGGCCTGAAGCCCAAGGTTTAATATCCCTTCCAAAATTTTATTACGACGACTCTGGATATTTATCCATATAGATGTCCAGTCTCCTCTTGAATCTTGAGTTGTTGGCCTCAACAGTGTCCTGTCTCAATGAGTTCTACTCTCTGCTTCCTGATTCTTCTAATTAGTATCATTATTTTAAGTTCCTCTGCATGACTTCTAGAGAGTAGAACACCAGAACTATTGCTGGTTAGTCTTTTAAAAGTTTAACGTGCACATTTCTAATCAGTTCATGTTTCATTTTGCAGGAGTATTTGCCTTGTATTCTGGACTAAAGCCTACTTTGATTCGTGCATTCCCAGCCAATGGTGCACTGTTCCTTGCCTATGAGTACAGCCGCAAGATGATGATGGAACAGGTTGACACGTACTGAAATCTTCCAGCAGCAGGTTTAGGTCAACCTTTTTAAAAAGAACTGTAGGGCTTGAATGGGTACAAAATCAATAGCATGACATCAGAGAAAGTCAGTCAATTTAGGATTTAAAAAAAAATCTTTTTAAAGTAAATGGATTTTGTAGACTTTGTGTGTGTTTTTACAGGATTTTTTTTTTTTTTAAGGGAGGATGGAGACGTTAATGTTCTTTCCACCTATTGTGCTGCTCAAGAGATTTAATTATGTTGCCCTGATGGAAGCGGTACTCAGTGTAAAGGGTAGTGATCTTTCAGTTAAGAGAGTTAATCTCAAACTTTAAAAAATCTAGTTCTGGAACAGCCATGGTACAAGAAGTCTGAATTTCCCTTTTTCACTGTTAGCAAACACAACTGACTCAAGGCCACACGGCACTGGTGCATTAGTAAAGTAGTGCTTCTCTTTTCATTATCCATTTTAGGGCTTGTCTACACAGGGAGTGACTCTTGAATAGTTTCGTCTGTGGATGCTCTTATTCTGGAATAAATCTCATTCCAAATTATTTTAATTCACTTTAGACAGCCTATTAGGAATAGTTAATCTGCTCTAAATTCACACCGTATGTTATTCTGGATTCACTTTTGTGTGTAGGTGAGCCCTTAGAGAGAGTATTCAATGGAAACAGCAAGCTGCTTGCATGTTATAGCTGTTTCACCTCTTTGTAAGAGAGTGTTCAAGTACTTCAAGAAACAGTAATCTAATACACAAGGAAAGGTAGAAGGGGGAGGTTTAGTTTCCTGAAGTATTTAGTTTAAGCAATGCATGGCTAATACTTACACTGTTTTAATAGTGTTAAAATGGTACAAATTCATAAACTCTGCCTTCAGTAGTTTCACCAATAATGTGAAAACATTAAAGTCACTGGAGCAGATTGGGTCTTGCAAGCCTATAACCTCATTTCTCTCTTTCCTCCCCTCTGCCTTCTTCCCCTGCCAACCCCTGTCCCTTTCAGTTTTAACTGCTGTCTCTAGGTAGCCTCCTTCTATAGGTTTGCAAGCAGGGTATGTCTGGTACTAGCTACCATCTTTGATGCTTTTAGGAAAGGGTCTACTTGTAGATGTCTGATACAGTGATTCTCAAACAGAGGTACATACATGTACCCCCTGGAAGACCTCTGTGTACCCCCAGGGGTAATCAGCTCATTTAGATATTTGCCTAGTTTTACAACAGGCTACATAGAAAGCACTAGTGAAGTCAGTACCAACTAAAATTTCATACAGTGACTTGTTTATACTGCTCTATATACTATACACTGAACTGGAAGTACAATATTTATATTCCAATTGATTTTTTTATATTATATGGTAAAGGAGAAAGTCAGCAATTTTTCAGTAATAAAGTGACAGACATTTTTGTATTTTTATGTCTGATTTTGTAAGCAAGTAGTTTTTAAGAGAGGTGAAATGTGGGGGTACACAAGACAAATCAGACTCCTGAAAGGGGCACAGTAGTCTGGAAAGGTTGAGAGCCACTGGTTTAATATACACATCACAGTATGTAGGCCTAATAGGTTGCCAGCAGGGTGGTGTCTTATTACTACTCAACTTAGACAAGGGAATGTCCAGAGAACCCAAATGCCTACAGTAATACCAACTACCCCTTGATCCCTTTCATATGTCCGTGGGGCCTGAGTTGCACCTTGTCACCTCAATACCCATTGTTGCTACTACTCATATTGCCTGAACCAAGTAAGAAGAAAGTTCATGTATTGTGCAGTGACCAAGAACAATCAGTGCAATCACTACCCATTGGCCTCTTTCATGGTCATCTTATAAAATAATCTAGCTTAACGGCTGTCTTCAGTGGTCACATCCCTGTGTTGAAAGGGCAGAAAGCCAGAAAAGAGTAGAAGGCCAGCATAAGTTTTAATTGGTAGATGGATTTGAAAAAAAACAAAACAAACCCTTGAGCGTCAGGCCGTAGAAACTAGTAGGAAGAAGACCAAAACTGTGTGGGGATACAGTTTGGGCCAGGGGTGCACAAACTTCTTGGCCTGAGGGCCACAGCTGGGTGGGGAAATTGTATACAGGGCCATGAATGTGGGGTTGGGGTGGGGGAGGGAGTGCAGGATGTGGGAGGGGCTCAAGGCAAGGGGTTGGTGTGTAGGGTGTGGCAGGGGGTGTGGAGTGCAGGAGGGGGCTCAGGGCAGGGGGTTGGGGTGAAGGAGGGGCATGGCAGGGGGCTCAAGGCAGGGAGTTGGGGTGGGGGGTTCAGGTTCCAGCCCAGTGCTTTTTACCTTGAGTGGCTCTGGGGTGGTAGCGGTGTGCAGCAGGGCTAAGGCAGGCTCCCTGCCTTTCCTGGCCCTGCACCGCTCCCAAAAGTAGCCAGCATGTCTGGCAGTGGTTCCTGGGGGTGGGGTGGGGCAGGTGGCTCTGCCATGCACTGCCTTTGCCTGTGGGTACCACCCCTGAAGCTCCCATTGGCCTGCTCCATACTTTGATCATGATGGTTGGAGGAATGGTAATACTTCAGCCATCATAATCCAAAAGGAACAAGATTTGGGACCAGATGCAGTGGGTTAGGGAAGGAAGTAGATACCCTTAAATATTTGCTTCCATTCTGGAAGTCAGATTCTTTGAGGCTATGGCCTTAAAATAGCTGCCAGTCAGCTTTTGTGTTTACCAAAGGGGAATGCTTTAGCCACCTTGTCATTGGAGCCTTTTTAAAATGCTCATGGACACTCACATTTTGGCTAGAGTGAGGGTAGCTATAGCCCAGGGGTGGGCAAACTAGAGCCTGCTGGCCAAATCCAGCCCACAAGCCATTTTAAGCTGGCCCATGAGCTGTACCACCTGACTCGGCCCTGCTCCATAAAGGGGGTGGCACCACATGGCTCGGCCCCCACTCCAGCTCCTACACACTCCAATGGGAGCTGCAGGGGCAGTGCCTGTGGATGAGGCAATGTGCAGAGCTGTCTGGCTGTGCCTCTAAATAGGAGCTGGAGAAGGGACATGCTTCCAGGAGCCGCTTGAGGTAAGCGCTGCTCAGAGCCTGCCTCCCCTGAGTGTCTCCCCAACCCCAGCCCTAATCCCTCCCTCCTCTCCAAACCCCTCAATCCCAGCCCAGAGCACACTCCTGCACCCCAAACCTCTCATCCCCAGCCCCACCCTGATCCCCCTCCTGTCCTCTGAACCCCTCAGTCCCAGCCCAGAACATCCTCCTACACCCCAAACTTCATTCCAAGCCCTATCCCAGAGCCTGCACCCCCTCCCACACACCAACCCCAATTTTGTGAGCATTCATGGTCCACCATACAATTTCTATTCCCTGATGTGGCCGTTGGGCCAAAAAGGTTGCCCACCCCTGTTATAGCCTATCTTGGTGATAGTGCTGCTTCTTTGTGGGGGATGAGTGTTTACCAGTGCAAGGCATTCCTTCCTCTCATCTGGTCCTAGTCATAGTTCAGGCAAGTCTTCCCTTTGCACCCTCTCACAGGAAAGAGCACCATGGGAAGTAAACTGAAGCTTTTTTTTTTTTTTTAAATACTGTTATGCTCTGATGTAACAAAAGATAGTTCAGTGGTACTTGGAGTCAGTTAATCTCTTGCATAGTACATATAGGAATAATGTCAAACCATAAAAATAGTATACAGGTTACAAGATTTGTCAAATCATTTACATTTTAATTTGAAAAAATAGTAATAGTACTGCAGGGGAAGTGCTGAAAGCTGGGTTGGTAGAGTCTAGGTTAATTGTCTAGCAGTTGGAAGAGTGAAAATACAATTTAATTCAGTGTCAGTAATTGTCTTGTATTGCTTTTTTAAAAAAAAAAAAAAAAAAAAACTTTAGCTGTATTTGCAATACTTGATGTAAATCAAGCCCTGAGTGTACCAGAAGCAAGATTTTCAAAAACTTTACTACAGTCAAGTTACTGAAGTGGACACTAAGCTATTTCAAAGCATGTTTTCAGTTAGCCTAATACAAAATCATGCACTACCACTTACATTTAACAGTATGAGTACTGCAGCTGTTTCAACTCTGTACCTGTATTTAGTCATACATAATTCCTTTGGTCTTCATATTCAGGAAGATTCTAGCAGTAGTGTTGCCAACTATTCATGAAAATAAAATTAGATTAATTTTACAAATGCTCATAGTGGAGACCTGGTTAAGTTACTTATGCAGTCAGTGAAACAAATATATTCAGAGCCGTATGTCTAATCCATACAGCTCAAAATTAAAAACTTAGTGACAAATCCTTAGTCTACCTGTGCTGTGGGTTTCTAGTGAATAATTGAGAAAAATGTTTTCTAGAATAAATTTAAGTAGAGGCAAAGACTTGTGAAGTTTCCCAGTTCTTCTACAATTCAGTTAAACTAATAAGGCAAAAAAAAACCCCTTAAACATCTGTGCAGTGCTCATGCTTAGTTTAATTTGGGTGAACAGGATATGAGAAAATGTACACTGGCTGGTAAGGAAAGTCATATCTGGAAGGTAGTTGTCCCCCTATTACAAGTAGTCCTTGTGCCACTGGCACTAGGGACAAAGTTGATTTCATTTTAAAAGTGAATTACAAGTTTGTCAAGATAGGCACAGTTTGAGTTAACATCCATAGATGAACACCACTTAAAGTAGATTTTAAAATATTAAGAGCAGAGATTAGTAGAATATACTGCAGCTAGGTTAAATTTCAGTTATATAAGGCAGTTTTACTTTCAAAGTGGCCAACAGGTGTTTTAGTTCTATTTAATATTAGTGTTTTCAGGAGAAGAACCTGTTACAAAAACAGTTTCTCTCTTCTGGGTAGGAAAGATTCAGAATCAGTTAGACATTCTACAAGGTACTTTAAGCTGTGAGTGAAACCAGATTCTGAAGCCTTAGTAAAGTGAAAGACTACTCTTGGCTTGTAATACTGACAGACTGCTACCCTTCCCTCCTTTCTCCCCTACTACGCACATTCCTTTTTAAAGTACCTCTAACATTGATGATTGTATGCACAGTTTGGGTTTCAGGCATGGCTAGGGGGCACTTTAAGTGTGTCTTCCAGGTGGTGGTCTTCTTTGACAATTTTACTTGCTACTTCCATCTTCAGTAAGTATTAAAAGCTGCTTTTCAAATTGAAAAAAATATGATCTACTCTTTTGACCAAAACAGTAGTTACC